CTCCTGCCTCAGCCTCCCAAGTAGCTGGGACTACAGGCGCCCGCCACAACGCCTGGCCATTTTTTGGTTGCAGCCATCATTGTTGTTTGGCAGGCCCGGCCTGGGGATTCGAACCAGCCAGCTCAGGTGTATGTGGCTGACGCCTTAGCCGCTTGAACCACAGGCGCCGAGCCAGATGGGATTGTGTTTGCTGTTACTTTCTTTTGATACTCTCACTAATGTCAGCTTGGTTATCTTCTTAGAGACTAAATAAAGGTCGTGGTTTCAGGAGGTAAAAAATCAGAGTCTGTTACAGGGTTGGAACCTGAGCCTCTCATAAAAATCAGAATCATGACAAGCATAGCTCACCAAAACGTAATGACAAAAGTGCCCCGAGCACCTAAAAGGTCTTTTTGTCCTTCTGTGATGTGTAAACATATGTTATTTGCTGTCCTCCCCAGGCCATTTTGCTGCAGAGGATGTAAAGGCCAAGCTGAATGAGCTGAACCAGAAGTGGGAAGCACTGAAGGCCAAGGCCTCCCAGCGGCGGCAGGACCTGGAGGACTCTCTGCAGGCCCAGCAGTACTTTGCTGACGCCAATGAGGCTGAGTCCTGGATGCGTGAGAAGGAGCCCATTGTGGGCAGCACAGACTATGGCAAGGATGAGGACTCTGCTGAGGTAACGTGGAGTTTGGGAAGTGTTGCTCCTGCCAGGCTAACTGAACAGGCTTGGGTTGAGAAGCAATGATAGATGTGCAGCGCAGCATCACTGTGATTCTTTTTTCATGCATTTTTTTACTTTTTATTGTGGAAAGGAGAAGACGACTACCTGCCACCCACCTTCAGCTATTAACATTGACCGTTATTGTTTCATCTGTGGTCTTCCCTGTACCTGTGCTTATATACATGCTACCAGCATCCACACATCCATACCAGCACATAGTCACACATACGCATGTGTGCAATTGTCTTGTTCTTGGACAACCACTTTTTTTGCTTTTGAGACAGTTTCACTTTGTCACCCTGGGTAGAGTGCTATGGTATCATAACTCACAGCAACCCCAAACACCTGGACTCAAGTGATTTACTTACCTCAGCCTCCCGAGTAGCTGGGACTACAGGCACCGGTCACAACACCTGGCTGTTTTTTAGAGGCAAGGTCTCACTCTTGCTCAGACTGGTCTCAAACTTGTGAACTCAAACAATCCACCACCCGCCTCAGCCTCCCAGAGTGCTAGAATTACAGGTGTGAGGCACCATGCCTGGCCCTGGACAACCATTTTTTTTTTTTTTTTGAGACAGAGCCTCAAGCTGTCCCCCTGGGTAGGGTGCCATGGCATTACAGCTCACAGCAACCTCCAACTTCTGGGCTCAAGCGAGTCTCCTGCCTCCGCCTCCCAAGTAGCTGGGACCACAGGCGCCCGCCACAACACCCGGCTGTTTTTTTGGTTGCAGCCGTCGTTGTTTGGCGGGTCCGGGCTGGGGATTCGAACCCACCACCTTAGGTGTACGTGGCTGGCGCCTTAGCCGGTTGAGCTATAGGCGTCGAGCCTGGACAACCATTTTTTGACTAAAATGCTTTTTTTTTTTTCTTTTCTTTTTGAGAAAGAGTCTCTCTCTGCCACTGTAGCTAGAGTGCTCACTCAAATCTCAAACTCTTAGACTTAAGTGATCCTTTTACCTAAGCCTCTGGAGTAACTGGCACTAAATGCGCCCACCATAATGCCCAGCTAGTTTTTCTATTTTTAGTAGAGACAGAATATTGCTTTTGCTTAGGCAAACTCCTGAGCTCAGGCAGTCTATCCACCTTGGCCACCCAGAGTGCTAGGATTACAGGTGTTAGGCACTACTCCTGGCCCTTGACTAAAATTTTAAAATTTTATTCATAAAGGTCTAGGTATAGCCCCTGGACCTATTGCTTTTCTTGCCAATCTTCACATAAACCAGAAAAAGTTGAATATTTATATCAACTACATACTATTCTCTCCAAAGATGGGAGACCTGGCAAACTTTGAAGATGGTGTCAATGGAAATTGATGAAGTACCAAGTGTGGTCATTCATGGGGCACAGGTAGAGCCTGCTTTGACTTGTGTAAGATTGTTGGAGAATTTTCCAGGTGCAGTGGTTCATGCCTGTAATCCTAGCATTTTGGGAGACCGAGGCAGATGGATTGCTTGAGTTCATGAGTTTGAGACAGCCTGAGCAAAAGTGAGACCCCCGTCTCTACTAAAAGTAGAAAAACTGAGGAAAGAGTATTGCTTGAGCCCGAGTTGGAGATTCCTGTGAGCTATGATGCCATGGCACTCTATCCAGGGCAATCGCTTGAGACTCTTATCTCAAAAAAAAAAAAGAAAGAAAGAAAGATTGGTAGAGAATTCACCAATATGTGTCTTGGTCTTTATGTCTTTTTATATATTTGAAATATCACACAATTAAATATATAAAAGCAGGATGAAAAGATAATACTATAAGTCACAATATTTTCCCCAAAGTAAATACTTTAGAAAATGAGAGTGCAAGTACCAGAAGTGATCACATCATCATGTAACTACAGAAGATTTTGCAGGAGATTGACAGTTGGCAAGGCAGTGGAGATGGGAGGCCCTGGCCCTGTGTGGGTGTTCCATGGTGGTTTTTGTTCCAGGCTCTGCTGAAGAAACATGAAGCTTTGATGTCAGATCTCAGTGCCTATGGCAGCAGCATCCAGGCTTTGCGAGAGCAAGCACAGTCATGCCGGGTAAACTTGCCTTTCCTTTCAGCAGTCATGATTGGGGGTAGTGTTGGGAAGGAAATGTTGAGGGACCCAGATATGAGCAGCAGGTATAATGCTCCCTGGGCAGAATTCTTCTGGCTTTACTGTTAATTCTTGTGACACAAAGTTTTATAGTGAGTTTAAAATGAGATTAGAGTGTTCATAGATGTGTATTTGGTAAACATAGTACAGCTGTTGATGTTGTATGCTCAGATGACTCACCATAGACATCCATAACCATATGCCTTTCCTTTGGATTTCCAGCAACAAGTGGCCCCAATGGATGACGAGACAGGGAAGGAGCTTGTCTTGGCTCTCTATGACTACCAGGAGAAGAGTCCTCGAGAGGTCACCATGAAAAAAGGAGATATTCTCACCTTACTCAACAGCACCAATAAGGCAAGGCCTGGAATATAGAAGCATGTGTGTGTTTCACGCTGGCAGTTTCACACTTTGCTTAACTGGGTATCTTGGGGGCGTATGTCTTCCCGATGTAAGACTGGTTGGAATTCACAGAGGTTTTAGAGTTTTCTCATTAATCTCCCACTTAATATCCTTTTTTCCAATACTACTTGTGATCAAGAAGATTACAGTGTGTCTTCTTAGATACATACAAGTAGTATAGAGAAGTCACACTCCCAAGGATAGCTTTCCACAACTGGATATCAGTAGGTGGAATTCTTCACTTGTTGAACTAGGTCTGTTTCTCTACAGCTTGTACCTGTTGGTTCCTATGCTGGACTGTATACATCGC